CGTGCGGCAATCATTCTGTTACCAATATTTTCTTATTTGACCTTTAATCAAAGAACTTGATAGTAATATATGAAGGATAGGATCATCTCAAATAACTTCTTGGTTAACAAGAGAATAGCTTGGCGTTTGGTATCAATGTATTTAGTTTTGTAATGCGTACGTGTTAATATGCCGTTGATTTTTTAATGTTCTGTAGCTATCAGTGGATACCTAAATGATGCAATAGTGTTTTCGGTTTAAGGTACAACTGGAGACGGGTTTTTTCAGGCGTCAGGTTCAAATGTCGATTGTGTTTTCCTTGTAAAATGCAACAGTAGATGAATTTTTAGTGTAAAGTATACATATAAATGGGTTTTTTTTTCAGTGTCAAGTTCAAACGAAGACAGTGTTTTCATAGTCAGGTACAAATGCAGATTGTGTTTTAAGTGTAAGATAAACTAAATGTTATGTTTAAGAGTTCTGTTCAAATGTAGATGGTAGGGTTAGTCGTATGTTAAACATTTAGTGAACCAATATACTCCAACATATTCGCGTTTTGACAATAACTGTCGGCTCAGTGATGCTTGAGGTTGGAATATTTTAAAAACCGAAAACTAAATACAGACGTAAAGAGTTGATAAAACCCAATAACACCACAAAATAAAGCCAACGAAATCATGAATGAAAATGAATAACATATTTCTGATTTTTAAACTAAAGGCATATTCCTCATTTTGATGTACTGATACCTTGATCCATGAGTCTTTTTAATATCTCACGATTAAAAAATGTTACCTAGTATATCGATGGCTGCGATATATGCATACTGAAAACACTAATCTACACATGATCTACACATGATCAAAATCAAGATTTTGCATGTGTAAATTATTATCTAGAAGATGATAAGGTTCCACCTTCGTAAGGCAGAATTTACCTCAGATGAATTAAACTAGTTTCATTAAGTCCATCTTAGTCGTATTGCTCTTAACTTTTCTACGTATCTATACATTCCTTGCTTTCAAACGGTTTGCTTTGTATTTCCTGATGAAAGGAAATTCATGAAAGTGCATCAGACGAACGAAATCTGTTAAATGTTACTTTCGTCAAATTATGCATGCTGATCAAAGTGATTGTGACAATTGTTGTCTCTGTATTCCCTGTTCTAGTTGAACTTTCTTAACATTTTTGTTATAAATATCAATTTATTAAGTTTGATCCAATTAAATTTATATAAATCTCTTTACAAAACAGGTTGTTTAAAGTTTGTATCAACTGAATAACTGTCTGCAAGATAAATACCACATTTTCAATGATTTATACGTTCGCAGTGACAATATTTGTTTTTCTACTTCCTGATAGTTATTACACTGCTTAACCATCACCATATAATCTCAATGTAGTATGGAAAGCAGTATCTGTGATCTTTATGTATACACGTATTATCATTAAATAATAACTTTAAATTGTATCAGATTCTCTTGACTTTAATAATATATAAAGGTATAAAATACAACATTATTTTACATGATATATTCAACTTACAAAAGTCAGGTTGAAATGAATAAATTTTATAAAACAAATTATTTAAACTTTCTGTGTACTTTGTTCCACATATTCTTCTAATATTATGCATCAATGTATTGTTTAATGAATCTATTGTTTCCATTTTATAGTAGCAGTGGTTTATCAAAACGTTTGTTCCTGACGCAATGTTGATGAATAATCACTAAATTCCAAAGAATGATAACAAAATTCTGAAACAATATCAAAGTAGCAAGTGCACAACTTCAGCGTCATTGTGTGTTTCAATGAACTTTTATAATATGTACATTGTCTCAATAATTTCTATCAAGTTGTTTATGATTTAGCAATTAAGCCATCTGTAAGCAACATCCTTAGTTTCCTCCAAGTATCATCTAAATCCTGTAGATGTTTCGGCCATTGTACAATAAATGCATAATTCCAAATGTACGAAAACTCTACAGGGATATCAGTAATTGCTACATCTTTTGTAATGATAATAATACGCTCTAGATTTTTTGTAATTCTCTCATATTTTGCTCTGTCTAGTTCAAACATGCAATCACGTGACGATATGAATTCAGGCGTGATGAGAAATATAATGGATCTGCTGTTTTGAATGCTCTCTGCCTCGTTGTCCGCTTGACTCGGTCCGCTTAAAAAATCTCGATCTTTTATACACATTGTCAGTCCCCACTCAGTCTCAAGTTTCGGTATTAGTACATTTTTTATCCAAATGACAATATCCCCTTCATATGATATATATACGTCATATTTGTAGCAATTCCTGACTTTACGGTCAACTGCACGGCGAATTACTCCATAGATAGAAAAGATGATTTTCCATCTCTTGCTATATGCTATAAGGAGCAACGATATGCTGATAAAGGTAGATAATAATGTTGATGCAAAAGTTAACCACATAGTATTCTTACAGTCCGCAAACAAGTCATATAGAGAGTTGTAAGCAATAAGTGTGTCAATAACTGTTCCGTTGGACAATTTACATTTATATGATCGGCTGTCCAGATTGACTTTTGTAGTCTGAATCCATCTTATCAAGTCTATATTGTCACAAGTGCACTCAAAGGCATTATCATTGAGATGTAAAGTCATTCCATTCAGGTCTTGCATCTTATCTGCCCAGCCTCTGATAGCTGAACTTACACTTGTCAATCGATTCTTTCTTACGTCCAGCATCTTTACTTTAGTATGATCGCTCAGTTGTACAGGAATAGACTTAAGTGAATTTTTACTTAAAGACAGATTTGTCAAGTTGGGCATTGGCTTAAATAGGTCGTCCGGGATATACCAAATGCCATTTCCAGATATGTCTATTGACTCGACAGATCTAGTACTTTTGAAAAACCGATTACCGAATAGTCTAAATGCATTATCCAGTTCGGCGTTTTTCCATATAATTGTTTTTACGGTGTTATTAGATGAACGTTTTATTTGATTCCATGCAAATAAATAGTCTACACCATTAGCAATAAATGTTTTAACTCGAATTTGAAGAATAATCATGGCAATATTTGATCTTGAATACGATACATCCAGATATGTAAGGCTGTTATTTTCAGGAACTATAAAAACTATTTCGGGGAAAGTATTTGCTACGGTGTAACTGACATCTATTTTTTCAAGTGACTTTGGTAATATCACACAACTGTGAAATGAACAATTTAAATTCGCATTTAAAGCAACTGATTTTTTTATAGCATAGTTTACAGTATTATATGAAAAGTCGAATGATTTCAATCTAACAGTTCTAGAGAAGAAAAGTTTTATCTCATTTAGATTTTTCTCACTTACAGGTAAAAACCTGTTTCCTTTAAATGAAAGATGTTGTAAACACTCCGGGTGATCGAAGGAGAATAAAGATCCAGGCTCATAGTCTACTATTCCATTCTCTGATAAATCTAAATTTTCTACACAAATAGTTTTCAGGTTTTTCATAATGTTGACTGAAATTATCAGAACATACGGGACATCGGCCCTGTCAATACTTACGTCACTTACATGACCGAAGTTTATTGTCGTAATATTTGTATTACGGTATGGTTGTAACAGCTGCAATGCGTGCTTTAAATGGATGAAAGTTCCAGAGAAATCTATCACACGGAGGTTTGGAAACGGCAACAATGCATTATCTTCTGTGACAACAAAGTGTAACCGACAATTTCTGAGAGTCAGCTGTTCTACAGAGGATGAGAATCTTTGAAAGGTTTTATTCGACAAGCAAACTAAATAACATGACTCGAAGTGTAGTTGTTTTAGGGTCGTTATTTGACTGAATCCACTTCCAAAATGTGGCAAAGGCATCATATCGATTCCTAAGAACGACAACTTCGTCAGAATACCTAATGCATGATCAGGATAATTATAATCCGTAACAAATTCTATTGGTTGGGGCATATTACTCCTTATATCCAATTTTGATAAGTTTTTAATTGGATAAAATAGTTCTGCTGAATATACTTTTGATATATTAAGTATATTTTCAGACATGTCGAGTATTGTAAGTTTGTGTAATCCATGAAATGATTTGTTAGATAAATAACGAAGTTGATTTTCTCGCAGGAAAAGTGCTTGTAGGTATTTATAATTAACGAAAGCATTCTTCCCAATCGCTGTTAACAGATTTGAGTTCATATCTAGAACATTAATATCTCCCGGTAAATCTTGAGGTATGAAAGTCAGTCCTTTGTTTTTACAATCGGCTATTTTTACATTCTCTTTCACTTTAAATTCATATTTGATATCACAGTCTGATGCATGTACGAAATCATTACAGTAAAAGATAAAAGAAAATACTGAATAAAGTATACTCCTCATCCTATTGTGATATGAATATCTGAAATACTGTTCTCTTTAAAAGTACTAGATGTTCGGGAAGTCATTCGTACTGTGCATTGCACTTTATCATACATAGATAAGTTTCAAGTAGTTTTAATACTTTTTCAAGCATCAATAAAACACCTTAAATCAAGGTATGCTCCAACATTCATGACAACGATAAATTATAAAGAAAAACTTAAATCGACAATACAGTACGATAGTTTAATGGTCACCATAACAAATTAATTGTCCGATTCGAAACTAAGTAGATACACGTTGTAGCTGTTTACTTCTTTACTTACCTTAATTATTGTCTGATCTGTACATGTAGAGATTATGCTATTCATGGTTGTGACATTTTGGCTGACTGTAAATGCACATACCGGGTGATGCGTAGCTAAACACGCCTTCCATGTCCATGAAACAATTTTTCTCCCTTTGGAGTTCAAAAATTTGTTTTTGTCTTGATTCGTATCTTTTGAAAGGATTTATGAGATCTCGACTTAAATCACCTTCTTTTGCCCTTAATGATATCCACAGACATATGGCTTTTTGAGAAAGACTCAATCAGTTTCTGTATATTTTTCCTATCTATGTAAAAACATATACATGTAATGAGGTTTTATTATTGATGCGCAATGACTAGAAACACGGTATTGGCAGTATTTGGCCACAGCTTTATTATAAAATTATAAACACATATAACTAGGTAAACAGTTAAGATATATATATGTATAGTAAATAGATATTTGGATGAACGTAGTCACCTTTCATATTGGCAAACTACGACACGATAACTAGATAACTGAATAGATAAATAATTAAGATATATATATAGTAAATAGATAATTAATTAAACGTAGTCACCTTTCATATTGGCAGACTACAAAAAGATAACTAGATAGATACATGTAGATAGATAACTAGATAACTAATTATTTACAATAAATGAAGCATCCAATTAAATGAATCCTGGGAAACAGAGATTCGTAAATTTTTGTGTGGTGGTCCTGGGATACAGAGACCCACAATATCAAATGTTTTGGATGCTAAATGAAATATGACGCCAAATAACGCATATTTAAAGGAAACGCAGCGAAATGTGCCAAATTGACCAAGACAGTCATAAATGACTGTCGGGTCAACCGCCATTAAAAGCGGATAGAGCTGCGTAGAAGCTGTGAGCCAAATACAATATAAAGGATCCATATATTTAAACCCTAACGATAACTGAATTCTAATGAATATCATGCAATTTCTTAATACACATTGTGGAAAGTATGTGGTGTGTAGACAAGAAAGGCTTCTACCGCTCCTTGAAATGTGGTAAGCAAAATGTATTACCAATATGAGTCAAATGTTCACCATCTTGGCATTTAAATATGGAATTGGGAGATACATAGGAGTATCGTATGTATTGATTGCAATATCCCCCTTGACGAATGATCAAACTAGCCAGCCAGCTGATTATCCTCTTTCTGGTTCTAATCATTGTTTCTGTTACTACGGAATAATGTCATGTTTATTTGGCAAACTTAAGACCACAACAATCTGATATTCAGTAAAAGAACAGAAACTATATTCACAGAATTTTCCCACATCTTATATGTTATACTCCTGTCGTATTGTCAACTCAATCAATTCCGCGTATCTACATATGTGTAAAATTAGAGATATTGAAAACCGAATTCCAGTTTAATCTTGTACAAGATGAATGCCACCTGGTATATTCCGAACTTGAATAAATTCGTTTTCTACAAGGGTGGAAACCAAACTCTAATGATTACTGGTGAAACTGCTAATCTTACATAACGGTTAGTATTACTAAAGTAATTACAAGTTCTAAACATAAAATTAGAAAAAATTCAAAGAGTTATACCCATTGTTGTATTTGAATATATGAATGAAATGACATAGACTTCCATCTACACATTGCCTGAGGTTTAGAATCAGGTCAACCATTTATGGCAGCTCTGTAGCAGCGCCTTTCCTGAAGAAACGAGAACTTTGTATCCCTAGACTTAATCCGAAAATATTCAGTGACTATTTTAGGACTCCTAAACTGATATCTAGAGAAAGGAGTTCTATCAAAACAAGCATTCTGAAAGTAATGCATTGCAATACATAGCCACTACCGGTTAATAATTCATTGTACTTGAACAAAATATTAACTGGATCTATATCTTGTCATGGTGTAAACTATAGAACAAATATCAAGTCAATATATTCAAGCATGACGAGAAAAAAAAATGTGGAAAACTGATTATTAAGTAAATTTTTATTAAGTCCAGGGACCATTACTCTGCACAAAATCACCAAACCGGAACAAAACTCGAAACTTGAGCAATTACTTGTCATGATAAAACTATATACCAATTATTAAAGCAATATCTTCAAGCATGACAACAACAAAAAATTGAGGAAAACTGATAATGTGTGTGAATTTATAGAATATTAAGTCCAAGGACCAAAACTCAGCACAAAAATCAGCAGACTGGAACAAAATATGAACTTGATATGTACCTTACCATGATAAAACTATGTACAAATTATCAAATCAATATCTTCAAGCAATAACAAAAACAAAAAAATAATTGCGGAAAACTGATTATTTGGGGGAATTTTCTTAGTCCAAGGACCATAACTTTGAACAAAATCATTAGGCTGAAATACAATTCGAACTTGATCTGTAACTTGTCATGATAAAACTATATACCAATTGTCAAATCGATATCTTCAAGTAAGACGAACAAATATGCGGAAAACTGATTATTTGAGTGCATTTTCTCAGTCCAAGAACCATAACTTTGCAGAAAGGCGCTTCGGACGCATGAAATTATTAAACGTGTTGTTTTCAATTTTTTGCGCAGAATCATCATACTGGAACGCAATTCGAACTTGGTCTGTAACTTGTCATGATAAAACTATATACAATTTATCAAATCAATATATTCAAGCATGACGAAAACATGTGCAGACAACTGATTATTTTAATGAATTTTCTTAGTCCAAGGACCATAGTTTGCACAAAATCATCAGACCGGAACACAATTCGAACCTGATCTGTAACTTGTCACGATAAAACTATAAACCAATTATCAAATCAACGCCTTCAAATATGACAAAATAAATGTGCGGAAAACTAATTATTTGTGTGTATTTGACCACAACTCTGCACAAAATCATCAGACCGGAACAACATTCATACTTGGTCAGTAACTTGTCATGATAAAACAATACACCAAATATCAAATCGATATCTTCAAGCATGAAAACAAAAATGTAGAAGACTGATTTGCCGGATTGACAGGTGGACAGACAGACAGACGAACATAGTGAGAACCTTAAGTCCCCTTAAACTCAATCGGTAGGGGACTTATAACAAAGCAATTGACCAGCGACAGGTCTAAACTTGTAAATAGTAAGTTATTTCGTTTAAGCAAAAATAGGATATTTCTCTAGGCCGCTCATCAATAACGTGTGTGGTTCCTTCGAATCACTGGTCAGTCTTAGATAAAATTAAATAGAGTTCAATAATATATATATTTTTCTTGATATCTGGCGAGATGACAATATTATTTGTAATTTAGTTCATTTGTTAGAATAATTTTTTTTTTTTTTTTTTATTTATATTAGTATTAATCATTAGCGTAGAGATCGTTTGTACACTATTTTCTTTTACAAGTTACTTTTACAAACTTGATCACCAAAAGTTTTAATCTTTTATAAGATTATCGTCTGCAAATCGTTGACATGAATATACAATCTCAGAGAGTTAACGGTTTCCTTACATTTACTATATATCATTTCTAAGGTCAAGAAAAGTTCAAATCGTAATCGGCATCGCAGCTTGTAGATACATTACGTTAGGAGTTTATTATCTCAAACTGTAACGTATCTAATTAGAAAGATTTTGTATTCGAAAGAGAAACATCGAAATGTGTGTTAAATAATGTGAACAGTTGTACAAGGAATATCAAGTATATATTGTAAACATTAAACGTAGATAACATAATATTCGTTTTAATGACAGCCAAATCGATTGAGGATATAATAATACTGCTATATTAACAAAGTTGTCGAATGCCTAGTCCCAAACAGTCGAACTTTATATCGAGCTTAATTCCACTGCAAAAGTATCTCAGCAACAATATATTTATACTCAAGTTCAATTTCTTTATTTGTTATTTTTGTATGAGGCAAAACTGGTTCAATAACAAGTTTCCCCTGTTCATATGACACTTTTTGCTGGTCATTATCAATTATAAAGTTGTTCCTAAGTAGAACAAAGATGACATACTCGCCCGTTTGATTTTTTGATTTTATTTTAAGTACTGACTAACATCTTAATCAAGACTAGGAGAGTAACTAGTTGTTTGCGTGAGATTTGAATGATCTTTACCGATTGCATTACCTGGTCGATTTACTACATCAAAAGAACAACTATCCTCCTGAAGTTGGGGGATCGTTAGATGCTGGTAATGAACCTGGTTCAAGTTGTGTTTCCTCTTGTCTTGATACAGCTCCTAATGTTGCAGTGGCTTTCCATCTTTTTGATGACCTTCTTGTATTCATCTTAGTGCCAAACAACTATAAGATTAAATTGAACAACCAAAACAGAATATTGCTTTGTACTATAAATAAAGAATTTGTCAATTAGCGACCTTTAAAAGTTCATTGACGCCTATAACCAACCAGTTTAACATTCATCTGTCAGGAATGAAATATTTGTGTTTACGTGAAGTGATACCGTTGCACAAATGTCGGTCAGCTTCCGACAATAAAATATTCTGGGTTACACGAGCGAGGAGGCTGATTAAACAATCTGTACCGAATGACGATGCTGTTAAAAATAGCGCAAGTGAGGTGATATGTGCTAATTTATATTATAAAATCGGTCAAAGTAATTAAACGGACAGAGTGGTAATTTAACAGAAACACATGTACTATATATAACTATCTATAATGATTATAATAACATCTAGAATGATGATAATAACATCTAGAATGATGATAAAAACATTTATAAGGATAGTAATAACCTGAGGTAATAACATCTATAATGATAATAAGACAGCTAACAAATTGTTGCGATTGCATATATAATGATGCTTACAGTTAAGGTTATGGTGATGCATACACGAAGAGATAAAAAATAATTATGTTCAACATGCGTAACCTTCAAATAGCATTAAGCTGTGACCGCCGGAGTGAAATGTGCAAATCGGTGTCAGGCGTTGAAATGAAATGGAATAAAACGTGTATATCTCTATGTAACAGTACATAAAAAAAAATTAATAGCTCAATTCTTATACATAAACACCGATCGCTACCTCCGGATAGTAAAAGTATTATAACATGTAAAAATAAGCAAAATAAGCAATAAATTGAAATTAATTTGTTATAAAACACTGATATTCTATTAAATATCCCACAATTGTTGCGGGAGACTAACTCTAATTATACCACCTGAGTTCCAATTGTAGAAAAGTGGTACCAAAACCTGCACAATGTGGATCCTATATCTTTTTAATCACCAAAATAATTTTCTTTAAATCACCAAATAATATTCCGTCTGTTTCTTTCAAATGTCGGAATGAAAAAGATCGCGTGCGCAGTCATATTGCGCATTGACCAACAATCATCTGATAGCCTACATTTAATAGAGGTGAAACAGCTAATAACACAAGTAATCAATGCTTACACTAATAACCGAATTTATGCTGAATCATAAATTCTATTATATTTGTTGACACTGTTTTAGCATGTTATCTAGAAAGCGTCGTCAAAGATAGCAGTAAATCTTATAAACCGTATTTTTTTGAATACCGTTAATGTTGTAAACTAGACCATTGCAACAGGTGTAGTCATATCCCTTTGATATTAAGAATTTTTTGTAAGGTGTACATTTTTTTTTTAGAGATTTCATCCCGTCATTATCCTTGTTTTTATTTTTCTTTTGTTTGATTTAATTTTCTGATCAAATAAGAAACCACTCATTGATTTATTAAATATAATTATTGTTAAGTGAATTGGTTGTCTGAAATTTTTGAACCATTGTTCAATGTACAGTTATCATAAAAATACCCTTTTATTTATTATTATAGTTATTAAGTCAACTCGTTTTGATGAATACATTTTTTTAGATGCATATGTTTGTCTTGACTCCTGTAAATTATAAAACAGAGCAACACTACCTGTGTCGGGAAATCACAAAAGATATAGTAGGGGACTGTAAAGATATGCAAGCACTTTATTTTAACAATGGGCCCTGTCTTGGATATTTTGGCTCCAAGTGGACAGGTGTACTATCGTATATCTACAGTACGTCTGCATCAATCTCTAGCACAAATGGGATCCCCACTATTGGCAGAACTGATTGCTTTACTTATAGTCTTTGGACATTGCCACTCTGAAAAAACTAAACAACGTTATACAACATGTACAAGTACTCATGATATTCTCAGGCAGAGAATGCGCCGTAAGACCCCCTTCTCTGACATTTGCGCCTTATAACTTTAAAGACGTATTGAGAAAGAATATTCTGAAAATCCAAAGCTAAATATTTAGCGGTAATGACTTCAGGACATACCAACATATCTAGTAATAATGAGGTTCACATTCATCAGCACATGACAACAACTAGGAAACAACATCATACCTTTTTTTACCGGGTGTCAATCAAACACTGAAAAAAGGAACAGACTATGTAACCTATCGGACAATGACACACGAGAAGAACACCTAACTAAAGAAGCCTTCACCAAATTTGACCATCTTAGAACAGGATATTCAGAACTATACTACTACAAAATAGGGTAGGCCAAACAAACATGTAGAGCACCAGAAATATTTCACCATCTTATCCTGGAGTTAAATGCACTTGAAATAATATATTGTAAAAATTATGGAAGATATCGTGATAAAAGATATCAACCTAGCATCTTTACAAACAATGTAAGGTTAATCCTCCACACCCCAATTCTTGAACTGCGCCACAAAGTTAAGCCTTAAGATGAAAATTTAACCGAATAAAGCAACAGAGAGCATATATCTACCTTAAAGAGACTAGTTGAGCTAACAATAAGTGTTAATGTTTTGACCTCATTTTTATAAGTAATTGATAATTGATTAGATGGCTGCTATTAAACAGAAGGAATAAATGAGACTTGTCACCTCGTTTTTTACTAACACGAGAAAACCGACGGGTGACACATAGAGAGCAGACGCAGTAACGGCTGACAGGGCACAACATTACACCACGGAATTAGTGTAGGCACGTGTTTCTCCATCTTGAGGTTTGCCGACTGAAAAAGATACCAGAGGTACAGTCAAACTCATAGATCGAAAATAAACTGACAACGTTATGGCTAAAATTGAAAAAAGACAAACAGACAAATAATAGTACACAAGACACAACAAAAAAAACTAAAGACTAAGCAACACGAACCCCACCAAAAACTGGGGGTGATCTCAGTTGCTCCGGAAGGGTGAGCAGATCCTGCTCCACATGTAGCACCCGTCGTTTTGCTCATGTTATTACAAACCCGGTAAATAGTCTAATTCAGCAGGTCATATTCATGAAAAGGGAAGGGGATTGTGATTACGACGTAAGGAACATATCCAATATCATCTGTGAAACGCTTATTCCATAACGGTCAACCAACTTGTGATGGCGTCAGTAAAATTTACGAAGGGAAGATTTCAACTTCACCATTTGAAACTCTTGGTTTAATAGCTTCCTTGTGAGCAACAATCCTCTATCAAGGAAATCATGATAGGAAACACCAGCACGGGAATATCTTATCAATTGGGAGATACATACTCTGTATGCAGGCGCTGCTAGAACAAGACATTCAAACTCATAAGTAGAAAATAAACTGACAACGCCATGGCTTAATAAGAAAAGACAAACAGACAACTCAACATCTATGTCATTATCATAATCTCTTTACATTGATACAACGTTATAATACAGACAATATACAATTGTCTTTCTACACACAGAACAAAGTACTGGACATGTTAACGGCACCACACTTGTACACAAAAAGAAAAAGAATTGACTAAGCAGATAATATTCCCTCAGCTCTTCGTCGATACGTTAGATCTGCTCGTTGGTATATTTCATTTTTTGTTCATAACATAGAACTTATGATAGAGAACAACAAATGTATGATATGATGAATTATACCTTCATGTTTTCTTTATTTTCAAGCAGTTAAAAAGACGACCTTTCAAAGTTCACAATGGGAACTAGCAAAATCAATATACCTTATCAAGATATTGTTATTAAGAATCTGGTACCACGAAATGATAATCATTACAGGAAAACATCGGACACGCATCAAAACTATAGTTTTGATCCTTATCATGCAAGTAGTAATATAGCATATTGTATGGCAAGGTGAGTATGTGCAATTGTACCTACTTCTGTCGCTTAGAATTGAAAACTTAAATATACCATATCTCAAAAATGGTACATCTACACACTACGTAATAATTGTTGAAATAATGCAACACGTTTACGTTTTCAATAACGCATAAGAATAAGCAGATCCTGCTCTACATGTGGCACACGTCGAATTGATCATTTTGTCAAAAAACGCGACAATGAGTCTAATTCGGTAGGTCACACTCGGGAAAAGTGTACGGGATTGTAGTTACGACATTAATTCATTAGTTCAGATAATGAAACAGAATAGAGGTTAAAGGAGACATGTTCGCCTATCCTGCTCTTCAGAAACACTACTTAACAATCCGAAGAGAAATTGGCTTTTGGATTAGCCACTAATGTCTAACCTGTAGAACTGACGTCATAAAGACATGTAAGATGTTGAACAATATCTGTCAAATTCGTAATATATTTGTATAGTTATGTCGTGTCATAATACCATTGTATTTCAATGAACTGTTATCTTTCATGTACATTGTCTTAATAGTAAGTAACTAATTATATATTATAGTGATTTGTGTATCATTACATAAATTATACAAATATGTACAAAGCTATTAAATATGTACACTCGGCCAATTTGTCCTTTCTGTTACTTTAGATTTGTGAAGCATATTCACAGAATATGAGTGTTTACACAATAGAAAAATAGAAATATACGTTAATATAAAAAAAAAGATGTGGTATGATTGCCAATGAGGCAACTCTCCACAATAGACCAAAATGACACAGAACTAACAACTATAGGTCACCGTACGGCCTTCAACAATGAGCAAAGCCCATACCGCATAGTTAGCTATAAAAGGCTCCGAAATGACAATGCAAAACAATTCAAGTTTTTTCATTGAATTGAATTAAGACTGAATTTACACAATTTTGAGGTTGGGATTTGCTAGTATTTCAGTAAATGAATTAGTCAGTTGCTATCGTCACTTAAATTGTGTAATTCGGATATACATGAATGCAGGTATTTGTGTCAAAAATTATCATAGAATGGACAGTTTATTAGAAAGTGTTTCTTGTCTTTGACTTCATATTTCTCTCATGTTCGGCCTGGTAGTCCATTGTTTCGGATCTTTTCAGTGTCAGTGCGATTTGAAAGCATCCCTCTGCTCAATAGGTCAAAAGTCAATCATACATATTTAGACATATTAGACGGTATGTAATTATCATGTTCATAATCACGTATGAAGGTTACAAACGATCTCGGTTTCGGTGATAGTGCGACCTTTTCTTTCCACTGACCTTCAGTAAAACATATAAAAAATTCTTTTGCCTCTTGTATGTTCAATGTTTGTTGGGTTTCGTAAAGTTTCTTAAAAGTCATTATCCATTTGATGAGTACTTAAAACTTTATCGTAAGCCTCTCGTCGTTCATAAGAATGAGACGATTCCAAATCACTGTTCAAAGCTATAGTGCGTGTAATGCTACGTAAGTCACGTTAATAACGTATTGGCGTTTATTTACAATATAAATGAAAGAAATTGTATCAGAAAACAGCAGAACAGTAATATAAAACTAAGTTATACAAGAGTTGAACACCGTTTTAAAGATTTTAATAGAAGCTGTTCAATTGTTAGCAACTAAGCCATCTGTGAGCAACATCCTCAGCTTTCTCCAAATATCATTTAAATCATCTTGATCCTCTGGCCATTGTACGAGATAAGCATAATTCCAAATGTAGGAAAACTCTACTGGAATATCAGTTATTGTAATATACTTCGTAATGACAATGATACGCTCTAGATTTCTTTTCTTATATTTTGCTCTGTCGAGTTCAAACAAGCAGTCACGTGACGATAGGAATTCAGGCGTGATCAGAAATATAATAGACCTGCTGTTTTGTATGCTCTCTACCTCGGTATCCGCAAGACTCGTTCCAGCTAAAAAGTCTCGATCTTTTATGCACATTGTCAGTCCCCACTCCTCCTCAAGTTTTGGTATTAATACATCTTTTATCCAAATGACAATATCCCCTTCATATGATATATACACGTCGTATTGGTAGTACTTCAGGAATTTACGTTCAATAACACGGCGAACTACTCCATAGATAGAGAAGATGATTTTCCATCTCTTGCTTTAGGCTACAAGTAGTAATAAGAACGTGATACAGGTAGATAATAATGTTGATGCGAATGTTAACCACATAGTATTCTTACAATCCGCAAACAAGTCATATAAAAAGTTGTATGCAATAAGTGTATCAATAACTGTGCCGTTGGACAATTTACATTTCAATGATCGGCTGTCAAGATTGACTTTTGTAGTCTGAATCCATC